CAAAAGATCAGGCGTTCATGTCCGGATCGTCCATTGAGCCTAAAAAATAGGTCGATCAGGTCGGGACGACCGATCAAACCTAAAGTGATCGGTCGATGTGTTGAGGCAACCGATCGAATTGAAATGCTCACGCGATCACGCATACGATATACGATAAGATCCACATGCAAAAATGCAACAAATGAACAATCATATGCAATGCAACCCAAAACATTGGACAGCACCTCGAACTCGTCCTAACAACTTCACATAGGTATATAAAGTTTAGCACAATGATATGCAGCATATCCGCCTCTTGCTTTGACAAGACGTGTGGGGAGCTTCACTTTCGGATTTCCAAGAGGAAAGCCTCCACAATGTTGTGGAATGAACTAGCTACAAAGCTTTCTCATTCCACAACTCCTCATAATTTTGCAAAGCGAGCTAGCTACAAGCTTATCTCACTTCACAAAAATCCAAATATCCCAATCCCTCTAAGGAGGGCTAGAAATGCCAAGGCAAGTAGAAATTGGGATTCCAACCCGCTTAGGTGTAAATCTAAGGCTCACAAGGGAAACTCTCGAATTCGCTAGGAATGTATCCAATTAAAGCTTCCTAATCTAGGGCTTCCACTAGAAAATCAACGGTAAATCCAAATGGATGTGGTCGTGCCGACTAGTGTCGGCCAACCAATTTGCCTCATGTTGGCAACCGAACCCACAACAACTAGCCAAATCTTATCTTAGGGCTAATTAAAAAAGAAAAGGCAAAGGATTTTAGAGAATCTCATCAATGTGGAGTTTGATGTCGCATTTCTTCTCGTAGGATGAAGCTCTCCCGGTGGTAGGAGAGATGGAGACGTTCCGAAGAAGCTCTTGCGAGGTCCGCTCCACTCCTTCTCAAATGAACGAATAAGTTCTCCTTTAGAAGGAGAGTATGGTGAGATTCTGGAGAAGTTCCGAGCTCCGGTGAAGTTCCGACAATCCTTCTCCGAGCTAAGATGAAGTGCTCCCTTGCTAACCAAGCTCTTCCTCAAGTATATCTCCTCATACACTCAAGAAAAGTGATGGAGGAAGATGAAGTGTTTTCGTTCGTTTTTCTCTCTTTTATTTTAGAAAGAGTCGCCAGCTTGTCGATCGTTATACTTCCCATATTCAAATAAATCTCCATTCTGAATAATATATGTGATTCAAAAAGCAGAGGAATCGAATAAAAAGGGGCATACGACAAAATGACAAACAAGAGAAAACACAAAACGTGGAGAGCCTACGTGCGGTAAACCTCGCAAGGATAGGTTAAGAGTGTCCGTCCAAACAAGATCGGGAGAAAGCACCTTAAACCGATATCCGCGAAAGAATACCTACGTAGACT